CCTTTGACCGTCTGAAGCAAAGTTTCTTGGATCATTTCATAATCCAGACTGATTGCTTATACCCGGCAGACGATCTCTACATGATTTAGCAAGGTGAAGACAAACCCTTTTGGGTGTACTCTGCTCGCTTCGATCATGAGTATTCTCGTAGCCTTGAGAGACGATCGCGCAATATCATTGAATCCCTCATTCGCGAAGGCAAGTTAGATAAGTATGTTCACAATGCTCCAAATCCACCAAACCTTCACCAACGCCAGATCAACATCATCTCTACCATCAACGATCCTACTTTGGCTGGCACATCCAATAACTTGCAGAAGCACTACGTTCGGTCTTCTTATGCACATAATGTTTTCAGTTCTGGACATGGATGCATGCTGGAGATGACCAAGGCTGGCTGGGAGTCTATTACCTTCAGTTAAAATGAGGTGCGGGGTGTCATTTTTCCCCATGATAACCTGCTGATCATTCGCGTAGATATCTCCAACTTTGATGTTGGCCGTATCCTTGTTGACACTGGTAGCTTCATCAGCATCACACATTTGGTGAGTTTTTCAGGAGATGTTGTCCAACCCATATGGAGCATCCACTTGCTGATCGCCGTTGGTTTAGCATCCCAGAGGGCTACGCCTCATTTTTTATCGTAGATTGTCTTACGACATTCAATGTTATCTTGGGACGCCAAGCCTTGGCCCAAATGAGGGTATTTATTTCTACACATTTGCTAATGCTGAAGTTTCCTACCCTCCATGGCATAGGCACTGTGCGAGGTGACCAACTTGGTGCCAGAAGTTGTTACGGTTCAGCAGTCAAATCCACCCATCGACCCCGCAGCGTGAAGCTCTTTCGGTAGCTATGGCTCTACATCTTCCTCATGCCATTATTGAACAACTTGAGGATCCTCGGGAGGAATCCATTACACCTCAAGCACAACATGTGGAAGACCTTGAACTTGTGTGCTTACATGACGAATTCCCTGATCGGCGGGTGAAGACAAGTCCTCCTTTCTCCCTGACCTCCGAAAGGGCCTCAACGCCTTTCTTCACCTGGTCCTACACTTACAGGCCTGACATTTCTCCCAAGGTTATCTCTCATAGATTACGCATTGATCCGAATGTCTGACCCGTTCAACAGAAACTTCATGCCTATTACCCCGAGATATACGAAGCCATGAAGATTGAAGTCGAGAAGCTACGCAACATCGGCTTCATTAAGTAAGTGGATTATCCCTCATGACTGGCAAATGTGGTCATGGTTCGCAAGCCCAAACGGGGTTGGCGCATGTGTGTGGATTACACCAACCTCAATCGTGCTGGCCTTAAGGATAGCTTCCATCTCCTACAAATCAACTAGCTTGTTGACGCAACGACATGCCCTAAGCTTCTCAGCTTCATGGATGCATACCATGGGTATAACCAAATCTTTATGCATCCTAGTGACCAAGCTTACACATCTTTCATTATAGATCAAAGACAATACCGCTATGAAGTGATGCCCTTCGGCCTTAAAAATGCTGGAGCTACTTAGCAGCGCCTTGTCAACAAACTCTTTGCCCCATTGATCGACCACACTATGGAGGTACCCTTACTAATTAGCCATATTTTCAGCCTCTGCGACAAGTCGTGCAGAAGCTTGAGGCATCTGGCAGGCTGATCAAGTAGGCAATTGAACTTGGGGAGTTTGATATCCACTTCAAGCCACAATTAGCCGAAAATGAGCATGCAGTTGCCGATTTTTTCTCGGAGTTCACCGAACCCCCACCTTTGGCTTCTTCTTAGATCACTGCTAAACCTATCGTGACACTGAATCTTGTCTCCATCACTGCTGAAGGCAACTTTGACCTCAATGAGCCACTGTGGACCCTTCATGTTGATGGCTCCTCCAATTCCCAAGGCAGTGGCGCATACTTAGTCTTCACGTCCCCAGATAAGGTGGTTTTAGAGTACACCTTTCTCTTGAACTTTCAAACATCCAACAACGTGGTAGAGTATGAAGCACTCTTAGCTAGCCAGATGGGAGCTAGACAGATTCAAATATCCAGCGACTCTCAGCTTGTCATTCATCAAGTCAATGATGACTTCCTTACCAAAGATACCTTCATGACAACATTCTTTCAGTATACTCACCAGCTGCTAAAAAAATTCAACGCTTATCACATCAACCAGATTCCAAGCTCTGAGAAGAGCCACGTTGATGCCTTTGCAAGGTTGGCTTCAGCCTTAGACCAAAGCGTCAGTTGTAATATCCACGTTGAATTCTTAGAGGCAACCAGCACCCAAACGCCCGCCAACAGCACCGTTGACCACAGTGCGACTTGGATGGATCCCATAATCCAATTCTTATAGAATCAAACGTTGCCTTGATACTTGATCATTAATGGCGCGCCTTATACAAACGCGGCTTCAACCTCCCTTACCTTTAGTGTCTTACACTAGAAGAAGGGGATTATGTCCTTTGAGAGGTCTATGAAGGCATCTGTGGTAACTATTTTGGGTGTCGGATCTCTCGCCTACAAGGTCATTCGACAGGGATATTTCCAGCCTACCATCCATACTGATGTCCAGCCTTCATCCTGAAATGCGACAAATGCCCCACCATCCCTCAGCTCCTTGTCGAACCATTGACATCAACGATAAGCCCATGGCTATTCACACAGTGGGGACTTGACCTCAACGGACTCATGCCAGAGGGAAAGGGCCAGGTCAAGTACGCGGTTGTCGCTGGGGACTATTTTACCAAGTGGGCCGAAGCTGAAGCCCTATTTACCATCATGACAGCTCGCGTCGAAAACTTTGTTTGGTAAAATATCGTCTGTTGTTTCGGTATACCCATGGCGATTGTCACGAACAACGGTAAGCAATTTGATAATGCTAAATTCAAACAATTTTGCTCCAACCTCAAGATCCACATTTGCTTCGCCTCTCCTATCCATTCCCAATCTAACAAATCGAAGTTGTGAACAAGATCATCAAGAGGACTTTGAAGACAAAGTCTGATAAAACCAAAGGTTGTTGGCCTGAGTTGCTCCAAGAGGTCTTATGGTCGTACCGAACCACTTTTCGCACTTCAATTGGAGAAACACCCTTATTTCTTTCCTTCGACATCGAGGGTGTTGTACCAATAGAGATCGGTCAGCCTTCCCACCAAACATCAGTATATGACGTCGAAGCAAACGACGAGAATTGGCTCTGAACCTGGACCTCGTTGACGAGCTTCGTGACCAGGCCAAAATGCGCAACTTAGCTTAAAAATAGCGCGTGGCCAAGTACTACGACTCTCGTGTGAAATCTCATGCTTTCAAACCTGGAGATTGGATCATGCGAAAGGTCTCATTGGTAACCAAGAACTCTGCCGAAGGTACCCTCAGCCCAACCAGGGAAGAACCCTATGAAGTCATCAAGGTCTACCCCCTTGCACTTATCAGCTTCGTGGTTCTAACAGCAAGCCCTTGCCTCACCCCTGGAACGTTGATCACCTTAAGTACTATTACAAATAGACATACCAATGAACTTACCTTCGTCATTTTAGTTTCTCTTATTTATGATCATTGGCACTTCGTGCCTTTATCCTATGTACTTATGCCTTTCGACACTTACTTAATGAAACGCCTTATTGTGGTTCATTTCTACTTACACAAATGCCTTCGGCACACATTTACGGTTATCTTTTGACAAGACATTTGTTAAACAAACGACAAGCTATGTTAAATTACTACAATAACCTCGCCCGATGGCAAGGAAAAATATCCGTACAAATTATGAGTACCATCAGCACTCCAAAAGTGTTCTGAAAAAATACTCAGTTACAAACAACAAGCAAAACATAAGAAGTCTTCAAGCTTCAGCATCTCAACCCTGCGTTAGCAGCATTCCTGACCTCAACGGCTCAGGCCTCACCTTCGGTATCCACAGGGCTGGCATCAGGAATCAGCTGAGGAGGAGGTGTATCACAGGTATCAAAATTCATCTTCAGGGTGGCGTTGAATTTCACCAACTCCACCTCCCAAGCCAGCTGCTCATCCACCAGCCTGTCCAGGATATAGCTTCTCAGCTCCTACGACGATCGGTAAGCCTCGACCACCTTGGCACTAGCAGCAGCGATCTCCTCGGCCTTCTTGTTCTCCTTCGGCACGTGCCTTTTCTGATGTTGCAAGCTTCTCCCTTAACTCCTCCACCTCCTTGGCCAATGCCTCCTTCTGCAGCACCACGGTGTTCTTCTCTCGGATGGCCACCAGCGCTTCGGCCATCTTGCACTTCTCACTCTTCGTTTCTTCCCCCATTAAAAGCACGGGGACTGTTCACTTCTTTATCCAAACAATCAGACATCTACAAGCACGAAGATCAAGGCAATGTACCCAACGGTTGGAATGCCTACAATTTTTACTCTTAGGATGATTTTCAGTGTTTATACATAAATTCAAAGATTCATGCACAACTTCAAATCAAAACTACGTTTCAATTCAAAAAGAGGGCAAAAAACCAGGCATACCTTGTTACTGCTTCCGCTGTGAACTCTGTTGCCGAAAATCACCTCTGCCATGGATCCCTAATCACCTGTGCTCCCTTAATTCTTCGTCGGAAATCTCCTACAATGATTCATTCCAAACAACTCTAAAAATGATGAGTGCTCCTCCTTCTGTACAAAAACTTTAGACCTCGCTTGCTAATGGATTCTAATTGTATGCTCTATGCAAGCTGAGGATGTTATTGCTTCAAAAAATTTGTCAGGAAAATGCACTGTTAATATGCTGAAGGTAAAGTCCTGTTTGCTTGGAAGGCTGGCCTTACTCTTCAAGTTTGCTCTCTTTCTTTCATTATAGAGTTGTTTCTGATGTGGGCATTCAAGAATTTTTTACACCTTAACACCTTATACCTTTTCCTACCCTTTCTTCTAAACTTTTTCTCTTAATAATTTTTTTACAATTGCTTTACTTATTATTTTTCTGTATGGGTTTTAACTTCGACAGAGTTGAATGTTTACCTCGAAATTATATTACAGGGACTTGCCATTTTTGGCTTTTGCCAGTGTGGATTTTGTCTAATATGAAAAAAAGAAGAAGTTAAATAATGAAATAACGAACTGTGTCTGCTTTGAGCTGCATCCAAGCATTGGATAGTTCATTTAACCAAAAGCTTCATATGATCTTGGTTGTGCTCCATAATGTATTTCAAGCTTACTTGCTTTAAGCTATAGTTACCCCTCTGATGTGAATGAATTCCCCTGAAGTTCCAGACAATGTGGTCATTGCTTTTTCAGAAGACAAGATTACAATGGGGAATCCCAAAAATTTGAATGAAGCCGTAATACTAAGGCTTTAATACCATGAAGGATGATCAATTGTCTCATAAGTTGATAGAAAATGGGGCAAAGAGTGTAGATCAATTGTCACTAATGACACTGTTTTCTTTGCCATTTGTCAAGGTATATCCTGCCCTAGAACCAAATGATGTGTTGTTTAATAAAACATTTCGTTAATTGGTGATATTTAATTCTTTAACTTGTAATATTTTGGGATGCTTACTTGATATGAGTCTCCACTAGAATATGAGTTTAATGTGCCTAGTCCTTTCGAACTTAGGAGTGCTAGAGATGCTCTTTTTAGGCTCTAATTATCTTACCTAGTATATATTTAGAGATATTTCCTTCTCAATTTTGTTTTCCGGTTCTTGACTTCTTAGAATGCTAACTTTCTGACCATCTTATTATCTCCCCTTGCAGTCAACTTTTACCACATGCTGCATATTTAGTGCGTCTGCTTTCGGTGTACTTAAAGAGATGTGCATTGCCAGAATTGAGTATAAAGGTCTACTCAATCACAAGGAGTTTGCTGATTTCCATGGATGTCGGTGTGCAGTAATTTCAGAAAATATATTTTTATCTAATTTTGATCCTGCTGAAAAGAAACCTTCCTGTTAGATTGCAAAGACAGGGATGGATATGTTGACCAGACCAGAAAGCCTAATTGATGTAGCACAGCCCGTAGGTATTAGATTAAGCACTTAAACAATAGAACAGAGAAGATTATAAGAGATCAAGGAGAAGAAATTATAGATCGAAAAGATGAAAGAAAGGGCAGAAACAGTAGAACAAAGAAAAATATCGGAGATCGAGAAGAAGAAAATATAGATCAAAGGGACAAAAGAAGGGGTAGAAATCAGAGAGTTCTAGGAAAAGTTAATCGACATTCAAATCTGAATTTTAAAGAACTATAGCAAACTAAAACCTGGAAAAGAAATCCTACTAGATTTTGGAAAACTAGAGAAGCTAGGAAACTAACAAATAAATTAGGAAACTAATCAATTTAGGTCATACACATCCTGCATCACTAATCCCTTTTGTTCTTGATGCCCTGCACGAAACAGAAAGCCTAATCCCTTTTGCATTACCATCATTTAGTATCTATGAGCAACTAATCGTATAATGTTTCTTAAGCCTGATATACTATGAGAACAGCCAATACTTTGATCACAGACGATATTTTATTTGTGAAACCTGGTCTTTATAGGCTATGGGTTCTGCCCTTCAGTTGCTTGAACTTCTTTAACATCCAAGTATGCACCATGTCATTAATATTTTTCTGGATACAAGTAAGAAATAAGAATATTTTTTTAAGGTTCTCTCTCTCTATCGCGCATAAATAAGGTTTTGTTGCTTTTTATATATTTGATATATGGTATGGTATGGTAGTACTAGTACGTAAGGCAAGCAAACCGTTATGATTATTCTTCAGCCCCTTAGTCAACAAAATCCTAACAAACCTTTTGCTAGCTATCAAGCTATCAAGCTATCAAGCTATAGCTACCTCCCACACAAATAACAATCATATGCATAATACATGACCCGAGAGAGAGAGAGAGAGAGAGAGAGACTCTGTGAGATTAAAGCTATAGCTATGGACATGAAGGGAAGTAATATAGGAGTTGTGGCACACAATCACAATTATATATAAAATTAATCAGCCACACAAGTCTATTATATATCTAATCATCACTCAGCACACAACAGCAGCAGCAGGATTACGTAGTAGTAATTAATTGTAGGTAGCTGCGTGGATCGACCCACCCCGTTGTCTAGTGACGAGGGTTTCTAGCGGAGGAGGTGGTGGTGGTGGTGGCGGCGATCGACCCGCCCCGTTGTCTAGTGACGAGGGTTTCTAGCGGAGGAGGTGGTGGTGGTGGCGGCGGCGGCTGCGGCATGATGATTGTTGGGTGTTTGTGCTGTGTTAATATGATTAACATTAATATTATGCGGCGGCCAATCCAAAGCCAACCCTGCGCCTCTAGCACCAACTGATGATGATCCATTAATATTATTAATAATATTAATATTGCATTGACCATGATCATGATCATCATGAGCTGCTGCTGATTGAGGATTATGATCATGCAGCTGATGATTATTATTTGACGACGTCGATGAGGATGAAGATGATTGAAGTAGCCGGATTTGCCTCTTCAAGAACTTGACGTAGCGAATGGCTTCGTCTAACATGGAAGCCGTGTCCATTTTAGTTCCCCCCGGAACAAGTCTTTGGAGGATGCGGATTTTCTCGCTTATCCTCTCCCGCCGGTGACGCGCCGCCACGCTTTGCGGGTCGTCGCTGATTCTCACGTTTCTCCTTTTGGGCCTCCGGATTGTGGCCGGATCGATGTCCACCGGTTGCATAGCTGCGATCTTGTACATCATTTCCTTCATAGCTCCAAGCTCCTCCTCACCACCACCACCATCACCTGCCTCTTCATCTTCTTCATGCTCATTTAATTCCACAAAAATGTTGTTATTATTCCCGCCAGCTAGTAGTAGCATTTGATGACCATGATGATCATGATGATCAGCGATTGATTGATGATGATGATGATGATGATGATTAGGAGGAGGAGGAGGAGGAGGAGCAGTGGATGAAGATGGTATTTGATGTAGTGGATGATGAGGGAGAGGCAAGTTTGGCCAAAGAGAAGAATATTCGTAGGAGGAAATCTGATGGAGGATGGGGTCTTCCATGCTAGCATGATCATCATCCAGATCCACTCCAGAGGAGTTTATTGCCCGCTTACTTGTGTAATCAATATTGATCTCCATGTTTTTCTGTGGGCTTTTTCCAAGTGATGATCTTCTGATTCAGAACATATAAAAACTGGGAAGAAGAATTCGATCTATCGATTGATCAAGTGGACTGTATGATCAATTATCACACCAAAGATCACCCAAAAGCACATCGATCAGATTAGTATGAGTTTGGTAAAAACAAAGAATGAAGAACAAAAAAAACTAAAAACCCTCTACCTCTATCTTCTTTAGTTTGTAGCTTTAGAAAGACTGATCCAAGACTCACAAAAAAAAGGTTTATGAGAGAGAGAGAGAGAGAGAGAGAGAGAGAGAGAATTGGAGCAGAATTTTAGTGAAGGGGGCTGAGCTGAGGGAGAGCATGCATGATGCAATTACAAAGTACACTAAAAAGATGAGTTGATGAAATAAAAGGAGAAGATATTGGGTGTCAGGTGGGGCCCACGATGGAAGATCAAAGGGTTGAAATCTTATTTATCTTTTTTCTGGCAAACTTGTCTAGGGTCAAGGATTGCACCTACTGAGAGCTTGCAGGCTTTTGCCACACTGCTAGGGTTTTCTCCCAATATATTTATTTTTTACATATATATTGCTGGGCTGGCCGCTGACCAGTACAAGCACTGAAATCCTGGCGCTGCTGCTGCTTTATGCTTCATCATTCTCTCTTGCTGAGATAAAATTACTTTTACTGCTCTTTATCAGTCAATTTTGGACTTCTTTTGCCTTTCGTGTGGGAGAGTTTGGTTTGGTTGATTTTTAGTCTCCCCACACACACAACCCACGTACGCAATTAAAAAGCTTCGTTGTTGTCAAGGTAGAAAATGACGTTGACTTGCAAATCAATGATTTTAAGTTCGAACCTACATAACTTCTTAGTAATGAGAGTATGAGAAATTCCTTGTTCTCTTATACTTTAGACTATCTTGTGTATTCAAAAAAATCTTAATTATTTTATCTTTAGACCACAACATCTCCGAAAACGAAACATCAAACCATTTCCATGAATTAATGCAGGTTTTAATAATAAATCCAGTTATCTTTATTAATTAGCTATATAGCTAGCTTTTAAAAGGAAAATAACCTAGAGATTTATTAGTGATTTTAAATCCTAGCTTTTAGTTAATTCCCCTTCGGGCTAGCCTTTTTTTTTTTTTTGGGTTGTTGTTGATAAAAAGTTATCCCAATTAATGGTAGAATCAGGATTTCATGTGTAAGGGAGCCTCTTACAAAATATTTATAAAAAAATTCGAAGTCACAATACATTCCGAAGTAACCGAAAATACCAGAACATCATACATAATATGAATGTAATGAAATCTTTACACATTTTTTTCTTCTTTTGGTAATCCACAAATTTGTTGAAAGATCCATTGAACTCAATAGAGAATAATTCAAATTTTCCCAAACCCTAACAAACCATAGGCAAAGAGAAAACAATAAATAAAAAAATAAATAAAAAAGAGAAAGATTAACAATCTTACTCAAGTGAGTCAACCCAATTGAAGCTTGATAATTTGGCAAAAAAAATATTTGAAACTTGATAATATATTATATGGAGAATAAGAGAATAAATAGTCACAAATCTAGAGAAATGGGTGAAAATGACTCTTAGAGAAATGGGTGAAAATGACTCTTAGATTTGAAGGACTTGTGTAAAAAAAATATATATGTATAATAAATTTTTAGAAAATTGATCTAAAACATGAAAAAAGATGTAAACTTGAAGAGAAAACCCTAGAAATATTAGAAGTATCATAAAAGATATTATTATATAATTTTTTTTAATATAAAAATGAGGGGGGGCCAAGACCACACTGGTCTCTCTTTGTGACTCTGCCCCTGATCCCAATAACAATATGGTAGATATAGGTAAAACTTCCCTAGTTATAGAGCCCAGTATCCTAAGCCAACCGGTAAACTGAAATGATCTGGAGAAAATCATTCTTGAAATGACTTCTCTATAACCCCTTTCAACGACTATAATTTCTCTGAATCTAGTGCAATACAATGACAAAAACTAGCCGCTAACCGGCATGAGTCTAAAAAGCCTAAGAACACTTAGCAAACTCAACTAAGTTTCTGAAATCATGAGAGAAAAAAAAAACACAAAAAACTCATAGAGTTTCTGGACTTTATTGAACAAACTAAACCAAAATAAAAAAGCTAAAGCAACATTGGCAAAGGGAAAACCAACCGTCGCTAATCCTCCTTTGAGACATGACATAGATTGCATCACCTAATTCCTCTAGGGGCTCAATGCACCAATGAGCAGTGGATCTGCCATAAATCGACATAGGTCCACAAAAAACCGAAAAACACCAAAGATCCGACAAGATTCGAGGGAAAAACCCCGGATTCTGAAGCTTTCTCTCTTTTTCTTTTTCTCTCTCTCTCTCTCTTAGTGGCTAGGATTTTTCTCCCCACGGGGCAAACCTCTTAAGTGACCAAAGTCAATCAAAATAAGTCATTCATCAGATTGATAATGTATACATATATATAGTTTATCAACACTGCTAAATAAAGTGTGTGTATTTAGCAGTTTAGCATTTTATATTAGGCTAATGTTTGCCTCCTTACGTGTAAGGAGATACTCATTCTTTCTACAAATCACAGTTTGACACATATGCAAAAATAATTCATCAAAAATAAAATAAAAAATAAAAACTTTTGCACATATGTCACTTAAAATTGAGGAACTCCTCCTTAAAACCAATGTGGTTTTGACCATTGTCAAATTCCAACAGCATTGACAAAATTTCAACAACAAAAAAAGCATATTAAAAAAATTTGACATGTGTCAAAACTACATTTGTTGTAAAGAGGAGCTCCTTCTCAATTTTAAGGAGCTAAGCTTTTTCACTTTTATTTTATTCAAGTGCTTTAACCATTGTCAGCATGAAATCTATTTTAAACTAATTTTGGCACACCGTGGACGGTCACATCACTTGGAGATACAGTCTTGTTATAACACATATATCTATTTATTAACACTACATATATATACTAAATTCATGACACACGTAAATTTAGTTTATCAACACTGCTAAATAAAGTGTGTGTATTTAGCAGTTTAGCATTTTATATTAGGATAATGTTTGCCTCCTTACGTGTAAGGAGATACTCATTCTTTCTACAAATCACAGTTTGACACATATGCAAAAATAATTCATCAAAAGTAAAATAAAAAATAAAAACTTCTGCACATATGTCACTTAAAATTAAGGAGGAACTCCTCCTTAAAACCAATGTGGTTTTGACCATTGTCAAATTCCAACAGCATTGACAAAATTTCAACAACAAAAAAAGCATATTAAAAAAATTTGACATGTGTCAAAACTACATTTGTTGTAAAGAGGAGCTCCTTCTCAATTTTAAGGAGCTAAGCTTTTTCACTTTTATTTTATTCAAGTGCTTTAACCATTGTCAGCATGAAATCTATTTTAAACTAATTTTAGCACACCGTGGACGGTCACATCACTTTGGAGATACAGTCTTGTTATAACACATATATCTATTTATTAACACTACATATATATACTAAATTCATGACACACGTAAATTAATAACATAACGTGTCAATGTGACTCTCACACTCACAAATTTCTCCAATAATGCGTACATTTTCTTTCTCTCTTGAGAGAGAGATTGCACATATAGAACCAGAACATTGACCAAATTTGATAATGAAAAAATTAAAAAATTAAAAAAACTTACAGCTAATGTGGAGAGTGAACAGAGTTGAAACACCATGCAGGTATTGCATCAGCCTCTAACGTGGATCAGACGCTGGGACAAGTCTCTTATGTCATCCTCTTGTTTTCAAATGCAATACACCAAGTCGCTTTCGTTGCATCTATATATGCTATAATTCTTGCTGCTCTATATATAAATGCGCGTGCACAACGCAATCATTCTAGGGTTTTAACTTGTGTTACCAGAAACCTATGATGTAACATTACAATTTTATGTGGTTTTACTTTCAATATGTATGGATATACAAGAAATTAGAATTAAATTCACTGTGGAATTTTTTTTTCATGCAAATTCATCGTTCATGTATCGACAAATGTGATTCATCGATCCGCCAGTCATAGTTAAGTTTGTAAGATTTTGAAGCACAAAATCAATTGGTAAAACAAGTCTTGTATTTTTAATCTCTTTCCCTATATATATATATGATCATATTAATTCCGACCACTATTGAAATTCACATAGTGATAATCAAATGGTCAAACATTTTTTTTTTTTTTGCAGTCACAATTCTAAAAGGGAATCTTAATTTAGACGGTTCAGATTATTGAGCCACATTATGAAAGGCCCCAACAATGCAAAATTTGAGTAAATCTACCTAGTTAATTAAATATGATCCAATATTCATACACAAGCTTAGTTTAATATTAAAGAAATAAAAGTTCCACCCCGAAATCAATTGGCAATTCATAGAGCAACTCATCCCTTATAAGCCCTTGTTAGATGAAAGTTAACCTAAGATGAAAACGTCAACTACATTATCCATGTGAGCATTTTGTCTTCTGTAAAAGGAATATCTAGGCAAAGAAAGCTACAAACAAATGGGTTGAATCTTCTTTTTGGAACTGGTCATCCAAAATGGTGATATATATATTTTTTTTAACTAGTTCGATTCAAACAAGCAGTATAAATACTATTGAAAAGAACAAAAACAATAATCTGGGTGTGTAAGTAGGGACTTTGAAGGGGGTGGGGTAGCCTGTTAGGGCACTTTTATCAGTAGTAAAAAGTCGCTAAAATGTAAGGAAGAAGAATAATATTGAAGCATTGGATATGGATGGATGAGATCTGATCTGATCTGACAGGAGCTAGCCACGCATTTATTTTGGCACCAGCATACAAAAGAGAAAAGCAGCAAAGCTAGAGACAAGCTAGAAAAGGGCGTCTTGAAATTCAAGCTCCTTAATTGGGCTCCTCAGAGTCCGCAAGGTTATAGCGACTTGCTTTAGAGTGCGAGGAATTTCAAGCTTCCATTTTGGGAAAAAGGTGGCAAAAGTGGTTTCAAGCTTGCTGGGTCTTTAATTGTACAGCTTTGAGCCTTCACAATTAAAAACCAACCTCATTGGAATTGATTTCGACCAAAAAAACCGTGCAATACACCTAGTCGCTTTCGTTGCATCTATATATGCTATAATTCTTGCTGCTCTATATATAAATGCGCATGCACAACGCAATCATTCTAGGGTTTTAACTTGTGTTACCAGAAACCTATGATGTAACATTACAATTTTCTGTGGTTT